TCAGCAGGGATGTTGTATTTCACAGTGCTGTAAGTTACTGTGCCAGTATGGTCTCTGTGTACTGCTATAAAATGTAGAAAGATAAAGGTAGAAAATACCATTAAGACACATCATTCCTCTCTCTTTTTGATACAAGCACTTTTTTCAACAAAGGCATGCAAGCAGTGATTCGACAGTCTGACATAAATAAAAACACAGCAACTTCAGGGTGACTCCACTTTCCCTTCTTTCTGTTTTATGTTTTTTTTGGTTTTGTTTGTTTTTACCAATTTGAGAAATGCAACAAATCAGTAAGGACTCTACCCTTACTCTTTGGCAGCAGAGTAGCATCTTGAACATTTCATTCATGACTACTGTCCTGACCCATGGATTCTCCATTAGTGTCAGTTCAAACATTACCTTCCTTCTAGTGCTAAAGCTCTAGTACTGACATTTTAAAGGAAAGTGTTGCTGTGTTAAGACAAAAAAACATTCATGGTGCCTTTGTTTTCTTTCTTTCTCCAACTTCACATTACATTTCTCAAGAGCTGTGGCTGAAATTTAGTCAGAAAGTGTATTGAAAAATCACGTGATCTCTTTCCCACAGATTATTAAATATATTGCAGTGACAAGGAAACATTATAGCCTTGTCCTCCTAGAGATTACAATACAGGTGCACAGCTGAAGGGAAATGGCAGACAGACCTATGTTATCAGATTGACAGCTTGGTCCAGGGAGGTGTAGCAACCCATATCCCCAGGACAGAGACTGAAACGGCTGATCCAGAACACATGAGCAGCCACGGAACAGGGCTTGCCTAGACCTCTATGAGGCTGTTGCAAAAGTGACATAAAGCACCTGTTTCACTGCACAGAGAATGCAGAATAGTTTAGGTTGGAAGGGGCCTTTAAAGGTCTAGTCCAACCCCCCTGCAATAATCTGGGACATCTTCAACTACATCAGGTTTCTCAGAGCCCTGTTCAGCCTGACCTTGAATGTTTCCAGTCAGCTTGCTGTCATCTGCAAACCAGCTGAGGGTGCACTTGATTCCACTGTCTATGTCATTGAAGAAGATATCAGACAGCACTGGTCCCAGTAAAGACCCCTGAGGGACACCACTTGTCACCTATCTCCATCCATTGAGCCATTGACCACTACCCTCTGGATGCAACCATCCAACCAATTCCTCAGCAACCAAACACTCTACCCATCAAAACAATATCTCTCCAATTTAGAGAAAAAACATATTGTGGGGGAGGCCATGTCAAAGACCTTGAAGGAGTCCAGACAGATGACATCCATAGCTCTTCCCTTGTCCACTGATGTAGTCACTCCATCACAGAAGGTCACTAGGTTGGTTTGCAGAGGTATGCTACCAATATTCAAACAAAGTAAGTTCTAGAAGGTTCTGTATTCTTTTCCTAAGTGATTAGGATTCATGAAAAGTAGTGTCAGTAGCACTATAGACTGCAGTTCCGCACTGCAGAAATAAATGGGTGATAATGTGCTGCTCTGTATGCTTTAATGGTGACCTGCTACTTGTTAATAGGAGAGAGAGCAAAAATCTGCACTCAGTGTTCATTCATTTTCTACATATCACAGTTAATTATTCTAGTGTACCATTAATGGAATGTACAGTAGCAAGATTTTGATGTCCTACAACTCAAATAAGAACTGGACTGCCACAAGTAATTAATTTTACATGGATCTTGGAGTACTCAGGAGAGAAGTGTTGCTCCCCATGCTGTTGCCTTTCCATGGCTGGAGTAAGTGTACAGCTGAGCCCTCCTGTCCTTTCTTTCTTGTTTTAAATCCCAACAGAAAATGGAAACAGAAAAGCATAAAGTAACTCTTACGCTATAGATCTTCCCCACAAGACCGTAAATTTATTTATCTTTCTTTAATCTGATCTCTTAATGCTGCAATACCATTAAGGATATAAATTATATGTGGGAAAAGAGATGCTAAATCGGTCAAAATCAAGTAATAGGAAATTTCTACTATTTCTACTGAAAAGCATCAAGGCAATTAAAAATTGAATTCCTACCGGGCTTCCTGGCCTCGCAGTATGTCCTGTCGTTTTCAGCAGGCGCTTGAGTGGCCTTTTGCTGAAACACTGCAACAAAATTAAGCATGTAATGAGGCTGGTAAAAAACAGCAAGAAAAACCATCACACATTCTGAATGAAGGAAGGAGACTCATGAAAACAGGCTGGAATACATCTCTTATTTCAGCCTAAGAGTACTTGTCAACCCACTTGTCAGTCTAATGGTAATTAGATGAAAAATTCTTCTGTGACAGAATTACTGGTATTACAGATACCATGACAAGAAGCTTTGAATAAAATAAACCTATGACATGAACATATTACTTGATGAGAAAAAACCAGCTAGCTAGATCTTGGGGTTCTTCACATGGTACAGACACCTACTATAGCCTGTTTCTTATTTTACGGACAAAGCTAAAACAGAAATACCAATAGTACTAGGTGAGAATTACAACACTGCTTAAGAAAGACTATGGGAATATTTGTCTACACAAACACTAGGAACAGGAAAGTACAATCACTTATTCCAGTAGCATAGCCCATCATTCCCATCCCTGTCAGGTGCCCAGAGTACAGCCCACCTGGATACACCCTGAAATGCTGCAGTCAAGACTTTTGCTGGCAGCATATGTAAAATCCAGAAGGTGGGAATTGCTTAGTTTCTGACTACTGCTATATAGGCTTTCCCTCCTAAGTCTCAGTTCTGATTTTAGCTAAACAAACTAGAATAATTCTTTCCCATTAAGTAATCTTTCTGACATCACTGCAATGCAGCAATTGTGCCAGTTCAATGGAGCAAACATTTATTCGGGGACCAAGGCTCAGTACAATGGAGCTCTTCTCAAGTGCAGAACAGGCAAGCCCTGCATGGTACCCCAGAGCCCTGCCTGCTTGCTCCTGCTGACCAGGGATACCCAGTGGATCTGGGTTTACTCCTCGCCTGCCTGCTCAGCTGCCCTTGACAATGCATCCACTTCTCTCAGGGAAACTTGTAAAACAGATGATCAAGACCATTGTCACATTAAAGTCTGTGCGTGCTCCATGCAGAGGTGAGGAAGGAGCAATTCCTAGGGGCGTACTTCCTACATTGCAGAAGAAAGTCTTCACGCTAACTCTTGAGTAGGCTTGTATGGAAGGTGATGATGAATGAAAACAGCTGGGACTTGATGTTCCTTCCAATGTTCTCAGGCTAAACTAAGAGTAAAATAACTTAAAGGCAGCACAATCTGCTGATGTTATGTCCCTAGCTTCAGCCCAACACTGATAGATTTTAACTTTTGTAATATACTTCTCTGTAACTCTCAAAGAATCCTGCTAAATATGGTTGCACTGTTTTCTTCTACACTTGAAATAGTGTTCTCTTTTTCAAGAAGAAATTACAGTAACTAGAACACAGAGGTAATGCAGGCACCATGAATTTTACTGCATAAGGAGAAGAAGGGATATACTCTACAATGTTCTTGACTGGAAAGCACTTTAATTGATAGGCTTTGAAATTTCTGCTGAGTTCTGCAGTGTTGGAGTAATCAGAAATGGAATTACTCTTTCAGTCCAAAGTAAAATTGTTAAAACCACTTTACATGCCCTATCTTACTGAACTTATTTTACTTGGCAGCAAACACTCAATGTGGGTGAGGTTAATGAAAACAAATTCCTGTTTCTGGAATGCCTGGAAAGACATATGCATACACCACTGTAAGGCTGCCACAGGTTTAGGGAAGACGCCAACAATTTACTCTTTCATTCCCACATTCTAATTATGAACTGCTCAGATTCCACAGTAGTGGAATGAAAGAAACAAGTAATCTTGCACAGGGATATATTCCATTATTTCTTGTAGAAGATAAAGTGACTATTCCTTCAGTAAAGCAATATTAATACAATTTTTTTCAATAGTGCCAGAATGCCACAATCCTTCAAATAAGGAAGAATATATTTTAAAATATTTTCAGAGCTTCTCTGCCATAGATAATCTGATTGAAAAGTTGCAGTACCTTCCATTATGCTTTTTTACTTAAGGTGCTCCCTTCATAATATCTTCGTAATGTCCTTTTGAATTTTTAATCACATTGTGACAGGCTTAAGTATCCACCAATGCTTGTAGGTCAAAAACTACAAATTACATGTTCCAATTCAATATATACTATATCATTTTTGTCTACAACTTATTTCCTCTTCCCTCTCAGTTTCTCAGATTTAAAGGAGGCTGAACGGACTTAAGTACTTCCACTTTATTCCCTCTCCTCTCTTCAGTTGCTTCCAGACAGAAATGAAGTTCCTTGTATGGCCTAAATACATTTTTGTATCTTAGGAAGTAAGATCACTTTTTAGGAATGTAATGTAACCTCACTATTACTCCAGGACAGCAAACTCAGACAGTAAGAAACTACTGCAATATTTTCTCGTATGATGTGAAACAACATTTAAAAAATATAAAAAATATTAGAAAACAACATTTAAAAAGTGTGACAAAACACAAATTTTGTGGCAACTATACAGAACTCTGGGAAAAGTGAGTGGGATCCAGGGAACTCTGAATTGCCTTTTTTATCTCAATCAGACCAGCTACAGATGTTGTTTCAGGCTGTCTGCACACGCAGGTACATAATGTTATGAGGCTTGAAATGTGGTTAATATTTTCATGGCTGTCACCACAAAAAAAGAAGGGTTAGAAATATTTGAAATCTGTCTCTCGTGTTTCCTAGTTATACATTATGCAAGAAACTGTGATAAGTATGAAAGGTCTAGAAAAAGAGAATGAATTTTTTTAAAAATAGCTGCAGGTTGACAAAAGGAACAGAAGTTTGATTCTCAGAATTAATTGAGGTTCTAAAACAAAGCCATAATGGTAAATAATCATAAATGCACTGCAACATTTCAAAAATTGCTTAGTGAGAGGCCACTAAGAAGTGATTGAATTAGAAACATGGGCAGTCAAAACATGGAGTTACATTGTGAGGGAGAACAACTCCTATCAGTTAAGAGGCAATTATAAAACAAGATATGGTTTCTAATTTGCATTTTATTTTGCACATCTGAACCATGAAGGATGTTGCCTAATTTGTTGTATTAGGAAGATTACCTTTAAAAATCAAACCACACTTTGCCACTGTACAGTAGTGATTCAAACAAAGCTAGGCCAATGAACCCACCCCTCTGGAAGAATACATGGGCTAATCATATCTAATACTACTCACTCAACACTTAAATCAGAACAAACACAAAGGAAAAGAGACACAGTGAAAAACGTAAATAAAGCAATAAATACCACTAATCTGAATTGAGTTTGCTTAGGGAAATTCAAGATGAATTTACTCATCAAATTCCTTGAGCTGGTGTTTCAGACAAAATTATCTGTTGCCTTGACTGTTTTGTTCAGGAAATATTAAAAATAAAATCCAGGGAAACAAAATCTTCATAGAAACTCAAAGCTAAGTGACAATGCAAATTAATTAATACACTAGGGTTGCACTTATTAACACATCTCAACTCACCTGCAAATTATGGTGAGCTTGTTCTGAGTAGCTTTTTGCTTAATTCCTTTTAGAATTGTCACATGATTAACTCGTGATTAACAGAAGAATGGAAAAGGAGGGGTGACTGCTAGTTGAGATATGTTGCAGGGAGAGACTCCTATCTTTGCCTACTCAATTTTTTCCCCATTATCCAAACACTTTAATATTTAAGTACCTAGACAAATAAAACTGGCAAGTTCTTTTTCTGTTTGGAATTATACTGCAAATTAGAGGTAGCACAGCAAGGGATCACAAATACAGAGAGAATACTAAGGAAGGAATAGAGTAGAACAATGTTTATTATTCAGGAGATGAGAACTCTGCAGATGTTTGTTCACATCTTTTTAGATGTCATTTTCCTTTGGTCTGTTTTGTTGCTGATGTACTGAGCGTCACTCAGCAGGAGGACTAGACAAAGGCCATCAGTGCAATACTACTCAATGAGTATTGTAAGAGATTATTAAGGACTACTCCTAAAATGTATGCAAAATACTTCACGTATTTAAGATTACAACGACATATCTAGTGATTCATAACATGAGATCAACTAAGGAAATGGGACACTCTAACTGTATGTTCTGAAGCAACATAGCTAAGCACAGAACAAAAGTGTATCAGCACACCTCATAACCCTGGTCTAGTTGTGCAGAAGGGATGGCAGTCTTGTGTTGTGCTGCATAATGTAACAAAGGCTCAAGTTCCATGTGTCATGGTAGCACAGGTGCCTGAATGCACTTATGTTGTCAGAAGGCAAGGGGGAAAAGACTGGCTAGTTTTATCTGCAGTGTGAGAAAACCAGTGACCACATCCAAATTGGTACAGGAGTTCTGACCTGTTCTAAGCATTCTGCCTGGAACTCAAGACATTTATAAGAAAACATAACAGTCATTTCATCAGAATAAGGACTAGGTGATGTCAAATACACTTGCAGAAATATCAACCTGCCATGCTACTCTGTTTTGTGCAGTGTGGCCCAATGCAGGCTGCCTGAGTTTTTCAGCTACAGTATCACATCCACCCATCAAAATTTATAAAGGCTGTTGTCAGCCTCTGCCTTCCACAGCCACATAATTAGTTGAGATTGCAAAAACCCAGTTTTCTCAGATCAAAAGCAAAATTACTTTCAAAAGAATCACAGAGTAATGACAATGTGAAAACATTAATCAAAAAATAAACGTACGCTCACCAGCAATTCTCTTCCCAATTTGCAGGGAGATTCTGAGTCTGTCAAATATGAAACAACATTATAAAAGTAGGACTAGAAACTCTTCTTACAGTAGGGGTGAAGAGTGGGTGAGAAGAATAGGTACTACTGGTTTGGTTAAGATGCTATTCAGAAGGTGGTGTCAATGTACTTGCTGTACAATGAAGAGAATTCTCCCACTGTTGCTCTTGTCAGAAGTTTAACTTAGTGGATTATGGAAGTTGTAAGGACTCTAATGATATACTCAAGAATATTTGCTCCAGCATGTATAACTTGAATATACTTCTGCAGCCCCATTTTCTTCAGCAGAGAAGAGCAAAAAGGGGAAGACTGTATACCCAGTTTTACCACAAATATGCTATTTAGAACAGTTTGCTTCTCAACCAGGCAGCATCCTATAAATATTCTCTCTCTGTATTCAGTATATGTTTGGATTTACCAAAGTTAAGATAGCAAAAAATCTGATTGAATGAACATGGCAGATGAAGCTAGCATATCACTTCACAACCAAGTCTGTGAAAACAGTCTAAAGTGCTTGAAGACAGCTGAACAGTGGTTCCTAGTATTTTATTAATGGTTAAATGCCCTTAAGTTGGAGATAATGAAATTAATTTGCAGTGCAGTACTTCGTACTCACCATAGGAAAGTACTAAAAAATCCCTCTGTGGGACATAACTGTTCTGCAGTTTGCATGGGCTCCAAGGCTTCACTTCGGAAACCCCTGCTTTAGGGCATGGAATAGATCTGCATAATAAGAATTACTAACTCAGGATGCACTCGCTACAGTTCACAATAATCAGCCTGATAAGTTTCCAAGACACAAACAGTTCTGGATTTTGTTCCTTCATATTATTTAGGTTTATGTTCTCTACTCTGTATGTGACCTATTCTGCCTCCCTAAAAATATTCACTGGCTGCTACTTTTTCTGTATACCCTGTGAGCAGTGAGAATGCTATTCTCTTCTGGGATGGTAAGTCAGAAACATATTTCTCCACTTCTTTTAACCCTAGTGTGAAATCCCACAGACAGCTCTTTTTATAGTGAAATGTTTCCAGTCCACAGAGGGGAAATGCATTCCTTCAGGGATTTGTGAGAGGTTTGCAAAGGAACAAAGGCTATGGTATACAAAGGTTAGTTTATGGTGTTTTAAGTCCTTACTGTGGAGAACTCCTCCCACACTAGTGGTCTCTGATAAGACGTAAATGATCAAACCAGAACAGTAAAGTAAACCTTAAGTCCTGAGGCAGTCCTGCTAGGTCAGACTTCAGAAGTGATAGGGAAGCATTGCAGAAACTCATGCACCTGACCTAAGAATACACTAGGCACTTTGGTTTCCAGCTCAATCAAATCTGGTATCAATAGGGAGCATTAAAATTGCACTGTAAACTGAAAACATCACACCTTCATACATTTATGTAACAGTTGTTTTGGCAGCACACAATTGAAAAAACACCAAAATAACCTACAAAGGAATAGTAAGCACCTGAGGAATCGAGAAGGAGCACACTAAGACTACAAACCATCTGCACAACCAGCTATTTGGCACTAATTTTCAGTTCCACTGGTTGATGAGCCTTTCACACAGAAAGCAAAATTCTTACAGTGGTCTAAATTAAAAAGCAAATGTACTCTGTTATAGATGCAGTACATTTAGCAGTGTTCTCATTAAAATCTGAAAACAGAGTAAATGAAACTGAGTAGAAGTAGTAGGAACACTTCTGTTTTAAATTTTTCAACTCACTTGTGTTTCCCAGACTTTGTCAGCAAATTCAGGTCAGATTCTCAAAGTGTAAATTGCAGTAGCTCAGTTATGACAACTTAGATCACTGAGAGTCTACCACCTAGTTTTTAAAGTGTAGATCCTGCTCTGAAAGAGACACTGAGAACGGGCTTGTGAAGTCCCATGTTTGTTTTCTGTAGATAAACAGTTCCACTATCCTATTCTGTAGAGTACCAAGTGGAAAACTACACTGAGCAGGCTTTCTGCCGAGTGTAAACTTGAGCTTCCCTGTATCTGAAAGCTACTTATTACTGAGAGGGCTATGTACTGGCTTTCTTTGCTGCTATTCTCATGGAGACACCACCACTTCTGCTTAAAGGAGAAGATACTCTTGTGACTTCATGGACTTCAGTGCATGGTGACAGCCCTCATGGGAATTCAGCCACTTGATTTGTCCTGATGGATGCAAAAACTAAATTAAAAAGGAGGCATAAGCATGCAGTCCAAGAGGCAAAAGGCATTTCTGCTATGCAGTGCTTACACTTTCTTTTTTTCATTTGGCCAATAAATAACCCCATCATTTTCCATTACCTCCGTGGGTACATAAATCATAGATTCATAGAATGGTTTGGGTTGGAAGAAATCCTCCTCTCTAATCTCAGCCCCTGCAATTTTTGGAACATGATGCGTGTTCTTTCCAAGAGCTCTCAAAGTACGTACGTTGTGGGTGACTGTGTAGCCTTAACACAGCTCTCCTCTGTAAATCATACTCCAACAAAGCCCCAGCATAATCCCAGACATGACATTTAAGCCATCAGTTGGGTCCTGAATCCCTGACATTAAGGTGCTGACTAGACACACTTATGATGTAATTTGAAGTTCTGAGGCCTCATAGGGGTCACTGAAATCAATGGGATCTCTGCATGGAATAAATAGTAGATAATGCTGTTTATCTCAAGAATGACATCTTAATTACTTCATGTTGGGCATCCAAAAACTTAGGAGGTACAGAAAAAAATCACAGGAGGCTCTGAAATAACAAGCTGGACCTAAGGTGGCCACAAATTATATTTTAAACAAAAATGGGAATGAAAAACACTATAGGGTTTTGCATCTTATGCTCACCCACTTTTAACATCAAATGAAGGAAAATGTCTGTGTTAAATAACAGCACATCTGTACACTGAAGGATTGGACTGATATGTTGTGTCAGGGAGAAAGAAGTAAAACAGCAGAACTTTTGCAATGTTCTTTTTAACATAATATACAACAAAAAACCTGAAGCTATCATAAATTTGAGGGATGAAAAATGTGTATATGCCCTAGCCAGAATAATTTTCTTTTACACTGATGAGATAACTGTAAAGTGATGACTGCAAACACATGCAGATTTTAATGATGAACTGGAATGAAATGTTCTAGTTCTTACAGCTGAAACAATCTTTTTTTTTTTCTTTTTTTTTTTTTCCCCCCAATTAGAAGCAGTTTTAAGATAATAACTGGGATATTGCTAGCCTGGATGAAGAATTTTTTAATCACTGTGGAGGACAAAAATTGCCAATTCAAGTAGCAGGAAAAATGTTTTGGTTGAAAATGTATCACTTCTGTCTAAAATTTCACTATCTCCAGAATTTGCAGAAAACAGGAGAGTGACAGACCTCAGATCAAGAACTAGGATGATGGCCAAGCAAAACAGAGGCCTGAGTAGTCAACTGAAACTTTCTTGAAGCGCTTCCACTGTTCTGTTTTACTGTTTAAGTAAATGAACTTGAGCCAGAGGCTGATTTCACAGACCAACACAAAACTAATTTGTCTACGACTACTTGCTTATAAAAGCAAAGATAAAAACCTTGGGGTGTGAGTATGTATGTGTGTGTATTGGGGTGTGAGTATAAATGTGTGCGCATATATATATCTGGAGTAAAAGAACCACAATCCCATCAAAGCAGTTGCACTGATAGTCTTTTCTCTAGTGAACAGTCAGAGTAGACAAAGTAGAAACACGCTAGTTCAATAAAAGACAGCAAAAGTAACATCCCAAATAATGACTCTTCACAGTAAGGGTTTTCAAGTCATCAGCCTGCCTATGATGACAGAGAACCAAGATTTGAGACACTACGCCAGCAATCACTGTAAAAGCAGCCATTTCAGGACTTCTGCAGTTGTATCAGCCTGTACACATCCATTCTTGGATGAGTTTTTAACTACTGTAATGATTCATCCTTGTACCTCCTGAACACGCTGAAGAAAGAGCAATTAATGATAAAAGTATTACCCCACACATTCTGGTCCTCCCCAGGAGTTATATAGCCTGGAGGAAGACAACTAGCAGGAAGAATAAAATAAATCACTGACTGAAATAGACATGAAAAAGGAGGTGCTCCTCTGTATTTTGTAGGATGATACAGGTAGTATTCATCCTGTTTTAGTGCCTTTTTTAGTTTGTTTTGTAGAAGACTCTGGAAGTGTAGACAGTACAGATTTTGGGGCTTACACAGTGATCTCTGCAGTAGGTTCACACAAATGCCTTTTGTTATTTTGAAATTTGGCTTCAGTCTGGATTGGTCTACAAGATACTTGAAATATTTTCCAGCCTTACATTTCCATGAATAAACCCAAAAGGCCCTTGAGTTTTCACAGAAAAGGTAAAAGGACATAACCTTTCCCTAGATGGCCATTTCTAGCATTTTGCATTCGAGAAAGGATATTTAAAAGAGGAGTTCTCCCTATTGTTCTCATCAGAGGGAAAAAAAAAAAAAGGCTAAAATTTCTCTCTTAGAATTAAGCAAACCCTGAAAGGAAAGGTGATTCAAACAGCACATTCTGTATCACACCATAAAAACAAACACATTCTTAGCTAGACCAGTGATTCTTAATTTCCCATCATATTGTCCTAATTTTTATAATATTAAACCAAAAAAGTGATGCTATCTGAAATGCAAACTGAAAATTGAAATTAGTCAGAGATGTTCTCAGCTTATACAAAAGGTGAGAAGAGCTTGACTGAATCAAGCATTTTTTGTTGGTTTGAAAGAAAATACTATTCATCAAATAGAAGAGACACATCTATATTCTACCAGCAAATATTTACAAGGCAGGAACACTAACCTTGTACTATGTAGGGAGTGTTCTCTCTGATGGGTAAACATACGGGACGAGGGGCAGGGGCTGGTGGCCTGTTCACAATGAAGGACCTGCGTTCTTTCTTTTTCCCCTCCTCCTCCTCAGCCAGAATGCAGTCGTACAGAGATTCATCCAAATTTGCACAAGTGTATGGGTGTTCCTCCTCACCATCTTCCTCACATGTATATTGCTCTTCTCTGTAGCACGCTGTTAGGAGTCCATCACCACGTTCTCTTTCACTTCTGTCCTCCCCAAAATTTCTCCCTGAAAAAGCAAGGAATTGTGTTCCATATATAGGGTAAGGAAAAGAAATTAAGATTTAACTTCATGCTTTAGAGTTTCCTAAAGAGATCTAATTTCACTTCTAAACTTCAGAGGCTTCTGATCACCTAGGTCAGTAGAGGGGATGTCCTGGAGGAACCATTTCAACTTCAGGGCCACCACATGATTTCACATCAGATTATCAAAAACAGATGCTTAGCTGTTAGTCCCCAAATAAATGGGACTTATTTAAATGAAATACTGAGTGCCCCACTTGCTCCCAGGACTCACACAAACGTTCTTTAATGGTGAAGCTAAGTAAGTGGTACCTGTGGCCTTGGCATTTTGGAAATTCATGCTATTTTTTAGCTGTTGCAACAACGACTTAAGTAGTGAAACTTACTTCAGAAAATGTTGGGATTTGTCTTTCCTGCATTTCACAGAATCACAGAATCCTAGGGGTTGGAAGGGACCTCAAAAGATCATCTAGTCCAACCCCCCTGCCAGAGCAGGGTCACCTAGAGCACATCACACAGGAACGCATCCAGGTGGGTTTTGAATGTCTCCAGTGAAGGAGACTCCACAACCTCTCTGGGCAGCCTGTTCCAGTGCTCTGTCACTCTCACAGTAAAGAAGTTGTTTCTGATAGTCACTTTGAACCTCCCATGCTCCAGTTTGCACCCATTGCCCCTTGAAATGCCCCTTCCAATGTTCCACTTGGTTCTGAAGGCTTTGCTAAGATGTACTGTAGGACTAGGTTAAAAAAAATAAATCTGTAAGCCCCTTACAGTATAGTTGACATTTATGAACTCTTATAATCTATGCTGACTATCCAAACCCCCACACTCCCAATAATTTCCCTGATTCTCTGTATTCCCTATATTTCATAGTACAACTACTCAGAACTTGCTTTCCTTTCGCTTTTACATTTTACACCATTAAAAGGAAGAGTAAGTTTCCCAATACCTGGGTTTGTTTTGATTTATAGAATCCTAGAAGGGTTAAGGTTGGAAGGCACCTTGAAGATCCTCAGGATCCAGCCTCCCTGCTATGAGCAGGAACACCTCACACTAGACAAGGCTGCACAAAGCCTCATCCAACCTGGCCTTGAACACCTCCAGGGTGTTCAAGGGTCATCTGTCTTTAAATACCCCACAAACTGCTAAGAGTTAGAAGCTGTTACTGAGGCTGGTATACCCATAAATACCAGAAGACCTGCCTAGAATTCTTGTACTGGGTCATGTTTTCCTTGTGTTGTAATCTACTGCCTGTACATGTGTATTTGCTAAACTAGACTGTGGTCACTACTAGTGTTTTCTATCTTTGGCTCCTATTTAAGAATAATTTTATCTGTTCATGGGTTCAGAGGAGCTACACAATCTTTGTAAATGTGTTACATTTATAAATGGGATGTGTAATTTTTTAAGTGGTATGTATTATTAATATGTAATATCAACATGCATTCTGGCTAAGATATACAAATGTTTTAAAACAACAAGTGGGATTAGTACATCCGCCATATTTAACCTGAAAAATAGTTTGTTTCCATGTCACTGTGAAAGTTGTGTTTCTTTCTCTGTAGGATATACTTTCTTTTAACTGCCACGGGGGCACTCTCATGCCACTCCCAAAACAAAGATATTAAGAAGAGAGGACTTGTCCTTTAGGTATTCTACAGCAATACCTAAATCAAGTGGCTGACTACAAATACACATAAATTACCAATTAGAGTTCCTCTTTGAAAGAAAGCATCACCCTCATTCAGAGGAATTCTAATACCACTCCCCCATTTCCCAGTGATGAAACCAAGGCTAACATTTCAGGAAAATTCACAGCATGTTTTAAATTAACTATTTACACAGGAGTGCTTTTAGACAAACTCTGCCCTACCTGCACAAGATTCACCACAAGAAACTATGTACCTGAGAACCTCTCTCTGCTGGTTCCCACATACAGACAACTGGAACTTGGCAGAGAGGATGGTATAAGTACTTGATGGTACAGCCACATGAGACCTATTCCAAAACAGGCATTTATATCAAACCTACACTAACAAATCCTGTATTCCCAACCTAGCCCCTCCTTTATGCACACATACAGCTGCAGTTTAGCATTTCATGGGAAACAAAATGAGTCCTCAACTTCAATTTTAGTCTGCTCCCGTTTCTCTTAGAATCCACCCATGACTTTGTGCAAATAGCCAGCTTCTACTTTCACTGTAGAAAACAGGATTAAAACCTACCCACAGCCAGCTATAAGGCCAGAAAACTATTTCTATCTACTTCCATAAACTTCACAGTGCTTGGTGGTGGTAACTTAAGACCTTAATAGGTCACATTTAAAAACAGATTTAACAGTAACAGTGGAGAAACTGAACAGCAATTTTTGTGTGCACACTTATCAGTAGTGTCCATGACAAATAAGGTTTTCTCTTCCTATGTGACTATCTAGGACTGGTATTTAAGTGTGAATTCTTTTGCATACTTATTTTCTCTCTGAGAAAAAAATATAAGCATTGCTTCTGAAACAGATGCAAATAGTATTTTTGGCTTCTCATCACTTGAATGAAACTCCAACACTAAATTTCAGGTTTTATTCTGATAAAACTGTATTAAAAAAAAAAAAAAATCTCTTCCTATGAAGGTCACAATTTATCCCCCTCTTTTTAATCTGCATCACAATATAGCTTTTTATTTCTAATAGTATTTAATTGGCTAAAAGGTAATAAAAAAATACTGTGGTACTTTTCTCCACAGTTTCTTCCTATTACTTCTGTGTGTGATATTCCAAGCTGTATTAAATCAAGATAGTATTTAATATTTTTAAATGGTAAATACTTAAGTAAACTTGACAAAAATACAAGCTCAATCTTTTGCTTCAAGCTTCTTTTGTAAACCAAATGCATCATGTATTATGTGGCAGTTCCCTGAGATGGGCAGAGTTGAGGAAAACCTGAAATCTGAACTCAGGAACCCAAACCACAGTTTTAGCTGACATACCTAGCAATGAATAACTTGATGCAGCAAAGTTCATATACACATGCTTGCTTTGCAGAATTAGGGCCATACTGCCTAGCTACTGCTGTTAGAAGATCATACATCATCTCTACAGCGGCATCTAGTCTGCATTTGCACCTGTTTGCATTTGTGTTTATTCTCCTCCCAAGATCATACCTTGAGATAAATTGTGCAGATTCTCCTGTCTTAGGATGCCAGGGAGATTTCGAGGGGGAGGAGGAGGTGGTCTCTTACAGACAAAGCAGCCTCTTCTCTTCTCCACTAGATCATCAGATATGTTGGCATACAGTTTATCAGGACTGCTGTGAAAGCTGTATGAATCTTCAAGTTCTTGATTTTCATGTTCTGTCTCCTCTCTACTGTCTTCTACGTAATATTTCTTTTCCTCATCCACCTCAGCTTCTTCTTGATATCTTGATCCAATTCCATCCTGATTTCCTGGGTTCTTGGCTTTTAATGCTAAAGAACGCATGATTTCATTTAAAATTTGCCATCTGGGAACATTTCCTATTTCAAAGATTCCCAAAGAAGCAACAGAGTGGCTAATAAAACTTATGAACTAATACTGTAGGAAAGCTGTCAGAAACACTGCCAGTGAACAGCTTTTAAAATATTTACCAAATCAACAGTGGAAGTTTTTATTATATCTTGCTACTCTGATACACACCATCTTTGTGCATGCAATGTTAAACTTGCCTAGAGTTGCTGTCAGAATGAAATCACATGCACTTACTTACCTTGCCTTTGCAATTTCTATCATTTGACTTCAAATGCAGCACAGTGCAACACTTAGCAAAATAAAGCTCTAGCTCACACAGCTGTGTAACTTGTTATTATACAGTGGGGTTTTGGGTGCTTATCTTAATCTCTTTAAAATGAAATAAACATTGCCCCTAGGAGACATGGCTGCACTCCTGTGGAAATGGAGCTCTTCTGTCTTTAGTGCCTCAGAGACAACAAAACAAGAATATAGTGGAGGGATGTGAAAGCGTACATTTTAACCACTATGTACAGCATCAAGATTTGGATAGTCAACCTCAGAAACAGAGTAAACTATACAAGTCCATCAGCAGATTTACAGTCATTGCACAGCAGGCAATACCAAGGCCCTGAGGTAGGTTTTCATTCATCCTTTGGTGATGCCTGCCTTTCACCACTGATCCAAATGGGAGGCAAGGGCACTTAGCTGGCTAATGGGGCCAGCTGTTACTGTCCATGTGCTTCTGCCAAGCATCCATCCTGAGGTTCCCACGTACAGCATGACAGACACAGTGACAATGTATTAGGGATATCCAGGTTTCTAGCTCACATTTTCAGTGTCTGTCACCTACCTAGATGTGCTAAAACAATGGGTTTGAACTCAGCAAATAAGAAAGATCCTTTTCATACCAAATATGAGACAACTGGAAAGATAAATTTGTCAACAAACAGATAAGATAGAAGCAAGATTAGCTTTAAAGATCCATGATACTGTAAAACATTTGCAAAATATATGCCATGAGTAAACACAAACAAGCAACTTGGCTTGCAGTTTTCAAGGGGAATGTCTGTGACCACACAGATTATCAACAAGCTTAGATGTATAAACATCAGGCTGCAAAATGTCTACTACTTGTGCCTCCACACAGGAGGTGGCTGCCCTGCAGGCAGTGCCTCCAGATATGTGATGCCTGTTCTCTGAGAACCTGGAAAATTCAGCTGTTTTCTAAGTTCAGAGGAGAGATCACAATTTTCCAGAATTTACCAGGCAGGGTGCTTGCACCAATGTCTGTTGTGCCAAGCAATGACTTTGCTATCAAGACTGAATCCCTCACCTGCCTTCTCCCCTTCTGCTAGAACATCTCCCTCCATGGAAGTTGCAGTAACATGAAAATTGAAAGTATTATTAATAATTAATTTGCCCCCTCTGTTTACCCATAATCCCACACACTTAATGCAGTACATGCTTTGTTACTGATAAAGCTAACAACATGACTTACTCATGGCTGGTTGAGTTTCTGAGCCTAACATAAGCACGTAAGTGTCATCATCTTCTGCTTCCTTCTCACAATTGGTGAAATCATCTGCGGTATTATTCTAGAATGAAAAATAAAGGAGAACATTTGTTTTGGTGACATCAGCCCCAAGCAAAACTGTGCAGAGTCAGTGAGGAAACCATCTGCCTGAGGAGAAACAGCAACATTTTCTTCTTTTGGTTCTATACAAAACTTAGGCATATTTTGCATGGTGCAGAAACTGATCCCCATGACCTTGTGCCAGACTCAGGAAGTTTGATCCTAGTATCCTGCTGCCTCCTGACATGCACAGCCATTGTCTCAGGGACAGATTTCTCAGGCCTTAAATTAATATCAACATTTGAAAGGGGAAAAAAAATTGGAGAAATAGTGGGTTTTTTTCTGGGGAACTGAGAACACCTTCTTCCCTACTTCTCTTGTACACAGCCATCTCATGAATGTCAGTCTTAAGACGGTGCAACCTTCAGACCATGCATCAGGTGCCTTGTTTGCTTTCCTGCTTCAGGAATATGCCTGGATCTCCACAAAGCTGTACCTGCCTTCAACAACATAATGCTAAACTCCATCTTCTATGTCCATATAATCTGCACATCAGTGAGACGTTTCTCTGTTTTGTTTGAACTTCCCCATTGTTTGTCTGGTTCCATGTTCTTCACAGAAGGATACCTCTTGAAAGGCCTTAAATTAGAGCTTTTCAAAATATTTAGGCTTGTATATGCTAAATGTAACTGTACAGTTGGGGTAAAAAAGAGCCTTCTGACAAGTTCTGTGTTCCTCCTGTAAACAGAGGATGCGTGCAGAAGAAATCAAGTAAGGAGAGCTCTAGATGTATTAAGGTCACCTGCTATGACAGTGGAGTATCACACAAGAGATGCTGTTTCAAGGTGTTCGCTTTTATCTTTGCAAACACGAAGTATGTGTGGATATATAGTTGGTGGAATGAGGTCAAAAGGGTAAGTGGGGGAAACAAATGGCAATTTCTGATTTTCTTCTTCAGCACAGATATATCTGAGCTGAAGGAAACGTGGTGGCCCACAGGAAACCAATGTAATAGATATTATTGATATGCATTTTTGAAACCTGAATGTTTCAGAGGATTGAGGTCACCCTGTCCTGCTAGCTTATGGTGCTGATAATGCTGAATCTGAATTCTTATCCTGAGAATTTAGGATAAAATCCAGAAGTGTAGGCCTTCGCTAAACCCCCTAAAAATCTTCTGGGCCTGGGAGAGACAGAAAAGCTAAGTAGATAGAAACAGTCTTAAACTAAATATGTTTACACTAAAAAAAAAAGATGCTGTATAATACATAAATTATTGATAGAAGCCTCCTGTGATACTGGGCATAATGACACTCTCTAGCTGAAAATGGTGCACCATGTCTCAAGGCAGTAGAGAGTGTCCTTATTTGAAAACACAAAGCAACAAAGCTAGAACAGAATAATGCCATGGCTCAGCTTGCAAACCTTGCCATGATGCCCTGAATAAATGCCCATTACTTTAAGCTTTAGAGTATCTTTTATATAGGCTGGGTCACAATTTGAATGTAATAACATAGCCAGCATGATGTTTCTACAGTAGAATTTAGGGTGTGGTGCACCATATGCACACTGTCCTGACTTTTAAGTCTTTTGAGACTGTTTGGCTGAAAATGGCCCTTTGATTTACACTAGGATTTCTTATAGATGCCAATGTACCTTTCAAAGGACAAATTAGCTTTACTGGAAAACAGTATTACCAAGAAAGGTATTAAAAAGTTGTTGTCAGCACAGAATTGCTCACAACAGACTACTAAAAAGGGTTCTCAAGGTTTGAAACTCTAGTTTGCAAGTTAGCAAGTAAAATTTCCTTACCTTAGGATGCAACAGGAATGCTGAAATGAATTGGAAGTCCTCTGAGAGACTGATGATGTTTCAAGTCCCAAGTTAAATGCTACCTCTCAAAGGGTAGATACTTAATTTTCTTTCAGTTATGTATTTTAACTGCCTTGACTAAGCTTCAAGTCAAACTAAAGACTTTCAAAAAAGGCCAAGTTTTTTTACTAGCTTAAAATCTGTCACTTTCTTAGAAAGCCTGAGTTGATTTACCTCCGTGACTTACTCAGGAATGCCATCAGCAAAATAATTATGACCATCTTGTCAGCCTTTTTTGCAATGCTCTTCTGAAAAGCTATTCTTTTAAAGGCATGTTTTCCTAATATTTCCTCCTTCTTATGCAAAGGATTTTTTTAGCCCTCCAAAATATTTATCTCTAGTGAATATGTAGTGAGATAAAATCCTCCCCCCTGGCAAGGGCCCACACCATTAAAATCTGGTGCATTGTGCCTTCTTGTATAGCAAGGAGTGAAACATTAAAGAATTCAGAGAAATTTAACCCAGCAGTGACATTATTATTTGTCCTTTTCCAGAAAATCAGCCCTTAATAAGTTGAAACTCAATTGCATCTATATGTATGTCTTAAAAACGGATTACATGCCTGTGAGTCTAAATTCAAACTCACATCTGTATTTAATCTTATTGTACTGACATTTCTTAAAAAAATAAATAAACGTATGTAACAGGAGGCTTCCATGTCTGTATTGTAATTCAGGAATTCATGCCACCTTCTATATCCTCAGTTTTTCTGGACTGCAGCTATTAGGAGAATTGCTGGAGAAAATCCTTACCATTGCTTGTAAAATTCTCATTGATCCTTTTGACAAGACATTCTCTTTAGTAAGGGCTGAATCAAAAAAGGATCATTATTCCATGGAAATCAGATCCTTGACATGATACAAGCTACCTCATAGAAGTATACTGGAAGATTTAAATTGTATGGACTAACAAAGAGTTGCTTGTTTGGACTTAAATATCAAGTACAGCATTAAAATGCTTGTGTCTCTGTCTTGACAATCTGTCATCTCTTCTGTTGATCATCCTCCTGTTTCTTGCAGACTTTATCTTCACAAGTCACAGCTCTGTGCTGTTCAGTGTCATTGTAATCTGATAGCTCACATGCTGCCTTGGCAGACATGTTCCTTAAACCTGAACATGGCACATTAATGCAGAGCCACTTGTAAGTCTGAATGAATTGTATATTCTGTGGGGCTCTGCAGTGAATTTTTCCATTAAACTTTGAATCTTTGACTATTTTCTTCCCTACAGGTAAATCAGACTCTGCCAGGCCTGCCAGAACACAGTTTGCAGTATTCTCCCCAGATATTCTTTGTTTCAGGATTAAATGGTATTTTTGCCTAAATAACATGATGTGTTCCTTCCTTGAGACAAGATTTTATTTTTTGCAAGTCAGTGCATTACTTGCTGAGCTAGACCATCCCTTTTCTTTTCAGTACAAATTGCATTTCTTGTAGCCAGTATATTGAGTAGGAGGGCACAAAAAAGGCAGCTCTGTGAAGCTAGTCCCACAAAGCCTGTAATGTATAGGTTTCCTGCAGGCCATGTCTAAGTTTTAATTCTAATAATTCTAATTCAATTTTCACACCTCAGTCAGTCCATCTGCCTACCAGTTTTCTTCATTAAGCTTTTTTCTGGAAGAAGCAAGTCTTCAAACAATAGATTAAGCTGAAGATGCTGCCTTAAATTTGTTTAGGACAAGGACTCTAATCTTCTAGACTCTGTGGCATTTCCAGCTGTCTGTTGGATGGCATTCAGGTTTGCTACCAGACATCTCAAAAATACTATAGTAACACTAAAGCCCATTATATCAGAGCTGAGACAAATCTGTTTTCTCGACTTGTTTAAAACGTTTCACCACAACATTCCTTCTTACCCCACTCCCAACATTCAAAGCCTGCAGCTCTACCAAGAGAAGCAATGCTCATTCATCTGTCTTCCACTACTCTTTAGAGCTCAGGATTTCAGATCAGAGGAGAACCTTGGTATGGCTTTCCTACAGGCACAGCTCTAGGGACCATCTTCTGACTATTAAGCAGCAAGATAATATTGCTGGTTACCGAGATTCGAGAGTAGAACCTGTGTTGAACTCCAGAAGAGAAAGAGTTTCTACCACATGGCTTTCTTGTGATGCACCAGCCTGAAAGACTCCACAGCTGCCTTCTCCCTCTGCTGATTTGGAGCACAGATGCAAGCACATTGGTGCTTTGAAAAGGATCTCATACCAACTATGCAAGTGCATGTCTTTGGGGTCAGTGCATCCTAAAGAAACAATCACTGTTTTCTCTAAATATCATTATAAAAGAAAACCAAGCAGACACAGGCTTATTTGCACTAATACTTCCAGTGCTTTTCATTCTTTTCTCTCTTCAGTGCAGGCCTCAATACTGCATACATTCCTGTCTTCAAAGTAAAATCAACAGCTTTAAAAACCTGGAAGCAGATGTGACCTGGGAACATTTCAAAACCTCATGTACCTTGGAAAGAGTATTTCCACCCATAAATCACTACACTGGATTGTGGAGTTGGAAGAAATGTGAAAAAGATTTCTATTATCTGAATTGCTAATAGGGTACTGAATAGTACAGGAGCCAGGACACCTCTAATCAATAAGCCTTTCCATTTTGACAATGAATTGCTGACAACCAGCCTTTAAAAAAGATTTCTTATTACTTCTGATTTCTTGGTAGCTGCATTTCATTTTGTGCCATGGTCTGCCTTAAGTGCCTGTGCTACACTTCTGCCTTTGACTGTAGCAACCTGATACAGTTTCCCACTTCCCATGGACTTCATTCTCCTATTTGGGCTTGTTCTCTTGCACTGCCTTCAATCTTTTTTCCTTCTTTTTTTTAAAATCTACCATCACTGTGTCATTTTTTCTCATTCCCATCATAGGAACTGTATATAATAACAAATCTTAGATTACTTTCACCAATGTTACCCTGTCCAGACAGCCTCAATTACTTTTTCTTGTTTGTTTACAAAGAAAAGAGTCCTCTAGCTACCTCCTTCACCTTAATCATCAAAACTTTACTAATGCATTAAAAAAGTTGCTGGATAATGTCTCCTGCTGTGTTCCTTTCCAGGCAGATGCTAGTGGTCTGGGCCCCAGAACAAGTCTGTGCATTGCTGGAACTCAGACAGCACTTTTTCCCATTTCCCTTTGACTGT